CGGCGCTGAAGTGCGGAACTGACGATCATCACGCTATATCTGTGGTGCTCCGAGTTAGGTCATTTAGGATGAACTGAGAACTTGGAATTCTACGTCGCTCACAGCAGTAGTTTAACCATACAGCCGCATAGACCACACGCCCCGATAAATTTTGGTCGTAACTTATAAAACAATAACTTAGATAGGTATTCAGGAAATCCATGCAGTTTAAGGCCATCGAAAACTTTTGCCTCAAATAATGCCTGATTTATTCACCGTGTGGATAGTGTTTTTTACGAATACCAACTGTCCACAAGCATCTTTTTTTCCCTATCACGACGCTCAGAAAGCTCTGAAGTCGATTCGGAATAAAATGGGGTGATATCATGCTACTTCAAATGACTTGAGTAGTTGCGCAACCGAAAGATACTGGAATATCCTGTTTCTCTCGAGGATTGCAATAGATAAAATGACAGGTTCCCGGGTCTAAAATGTTTGTAGGCAATCTAGCTAGATCGGTTGAAACATAATATTCAAAGTTATTCCTAGAAAACCTGAGGTTTTTATGATACCCCACCATACAACATTTTGATAAGGGTGGATATTGTGCCGGCAGGAAACCGAAGTACGCACGGCGAAAACTCGATAACTGAGGAAGGAATGCAACAACGGGCCTTCCAATAGTCGGCAGATGAGAACTACTCAATCTCACACTCAATCGAAATACATATGCGATTGGCCAGGCCTTTGTCCAAATGACTGTTGATCCAAGACTGTTGGCGCCGCTTGTGAGCCCGGCGTGAGACTCATTTAATTGGTCGGAGGCCGATATCGTCCAGATCCTAAGACACATTCGGTGAAAGCTGAACCGACTGAAAATTACGATCCGTTGGACGATCTTTCACGTGCATCCCGAGTAGATACTAGAATAGAAACTTCGACAAAAGTACAGCAGAACCGCTCACGATACGACTAAGTCGAATCGAAGTCTATTGAGAATATGCCTCCATGACCTTCCAGAAACGAGGCATCGAATACGAGGAAATCGAAAGTTGATGGCAGGAGACAAAAGCAAGCACTTCCGAATCATAAACCAACCCATGTCTTGAACACCCAGCGGAATTCCCGAAAGCACAATATTCCACCACATTTGCGTGTTCATCCGACGGACTTCGACTACGGCCCCAAGCCAGTAAATATTTGCATTGGTTTCTTGTTACTTTGAATTTAGGTAGTAGTATAACAGCAAAACGGATTTCCCAAGCTTGCACGGGTCCCCGCAGCCGAGTGAACCTTTCAGGAGTCAAAAGGCCGGGAAGCGGGTGGGTGCTCTTCGCCGTAAATAAATTGGAAAGTACAAACTCTGAAATGTTCGCAATCCTCGTATCCGGAAAGAAACATTAACGTCGTCTCCTATGTGACTAAGTGTCAAGCTATTCCGACACTAAAAACGTCACACTGATCGATTCAGCTAATGCACCACAAACTGAAAACAGTCTGTTTATGCCGACACCTACCTCTTTAACCCGGTTAGTTTACGCAACATAAGAGAAACACGCTGGGCAAAACCAGTAGGCAGACTGTTGAATCTAAGTTAACCTTATGATTACTCCCCCATTTATATGCTTACTCCGCCTATGTACTTTTGATCTCCAG